AGACATACAGATGGCTAACAAACACATGAAAAGATGCTCAACATCACTCATTATCAGACAAATGCAAATCAAAACCACAATGAGGTACCATTACACACCAGTCAGGATGGCTGCTATCCAAAAGTCTACAAGCAATAAATGCTGGAGAGGGTGTGGAGAAAAGGGAACCCTCTTACACTGTTGGTGGGAATGCAAATTAGTACAGCCACTATGGAAAACAGTGTGGAGATTTCTTAAAAAGCTGGAAATAGAACTGCCATATGACCCAGCAATCCCACTTCTGGGCATACACACCGAGGAAACCAGATCTGAAAGAGACACGTGTACCCCAATGTTCATCGCAGCACTGTTTATAATAGCCAGGACATGGAAGCAACCTAGATGCCCATCAGCAGACGAATGGATGAGGAAGCTGTGGTACATATACACCATGGAATATTACTCAGCCATTAAAAAGAATTCATTTGAATCAGTTCTAATGAGATGGATGAAACTGGAGCCCATTATCCAGAGCGAAGTAAGCCAGAAAGATAAAGACCATTACAGTATACTAACACATATATATGGAATTTAGAAAGATGGTAACGATAACCCTATGTGCAAAACAGAAAAAGAGACTCCTATGTATAGAACAGACTTGTGGACTCTGGGAGAAGGCGAGGGTAGGATGTTTCAAGAGAACAGCATTGAAACACGTATATTATCTAGGGTGAAACAGTTCACCAGCCCAGGTTGGGTGCATGAGACAAGTGCTCGGGCCTGGTGCACTGGGAAGACCCAGAGGGATTGGGTGGAGAGGGAGGTGGGAGGGGGGACCGGGATGGGGAATACATGTAAAAAAAAAAAAAAAAAAGATACACTATGGTTGTGATAAAAAAAATAAATAAATAAATAAATAAATAAAATAAAAAACAAAAACAAAACAAAAAAAAAAATGCCCAGGCCTGGGACTTCCCTGGTGGTCCAGTGGTTAAGAATCTGTGTTCCAATGCAGGGGACATGGGTTCCAACGCTGGTTGGGGAACTAGGATCCCACATGCCCTTAGATGGGCAACTAAGCCCATGCGCTACAAAGGGACGAGGACAGAGGGGAGGGCCAGGTCTCCTTAAATTACTCTTTGGGTTTCTCATCAAAGGTAGAGTGTAGGTCTGGAAATTCCCAAGGGAAGAGGCGGATCATTGATCTCTTGGGTTCAAGGTGGCTCTGCGCTCCTGGGTGAGACAGTGGTAGAGGGGAAGGAACATACAGTTTCAGAAGTGACCACCTAGGCTTGAATTCCAGCTCCTCATCTCTCTGGGACATCACTGGTCTCACAGGTGCCATGAGGATTAGACCAGAAAGTACATGTAAAGGCAGCGGGGCCCCTCTTTCAGGCCAAATGAGTAGTCCCGCGTTCAAAACCCACCAAGCTTCTTCCCAGCTCTTCGCTGGCACCAAGGGGCAACCAAGCCTCCCGAACTCTGGTTTCCAGAAGCCACAGAGTAAAAGAAGCTGTTGTCGTGGACAAGGGTGGGTGGGCGCATTATCTTGTGCCTGCTAATCCCGTTTTCTGCTTTCATGTTAATCCTCTTCCCGCTTCTGTCTGCCACACACTCAGCATCCAGGGCAATGACCCGGGGAGCCTGGCTCCACCTCCTTCAGAGCTCCCTGGTGGAGGTGGAGGGTTGGGGGACAGTCCAGGTGTGCCTGGGTCCACCCCAGCTGACCTGGATCCTCTTGTACGCCAGGTCATGGAAGAACATGGAGGGTTCAACACAACTCATATCAGTAACAATGACAACATCAGTCAGTGTTTCTTAAGCACTGTGTGCTGACACTAGTGGAGTTTTCTGTACGTAATTTCATTCAATGCCCGTAACACTGCTGTGAAGTGGGTATCATAACTCTGAAATTTGCAGATAAGGAGATGGAGGCTTGGAGAGTTGTCACAGCCCAGACCACACAGTGAGCAGAGAGAAAGACTGGCCAGAGTTCCTCCAGAGCCTCCTGGGGGCCTTGTGGCATCATGGGCCCTCTGATGTTTTTCCTACTCTGCCAGCCCTGGGAAAGACCCACCTCCTTCCTCTGGGACCAACACCTGAGGCTTCGTTGGACGAATGCATTTCTTCCATGCGCTGGGTCTTGGTGTCACTGGCTGTGCAGAGGAGAGGAGAGAACATAGACTTCGGGGTGGAAAGCTATGGATCTGGCTTCTGCAGGAAGGGGACAAGATGTTCCCAGGAACTGAACTTCTTCCAGGCTCACAGGTGGCTACATGGAAAAGGCTGTGGGGGGAGGGACGATTTGGCTGTCACTCACTACCCTCTTCAACCCTGGCTGCAAACGCTGCTTTCTATTCTGCAGGACTGAGTCTGACCATTTTTGCCCCCCAGATACGGGTTTGGAGTTAAGGCTCACTCACTGAGGAAAAAGCTGCTTGCTAAGCCTTTAGCCACCTGCAGGTGAGTCTTTTGGAAAAGGTTTAACGCCCTTTGGACCTCCATTTGAGTCTGGCATCACTCAGAGTATGGGCTCCCTGACTATAACTTCATTCTTCTCCCAGGACAGGCTTGGAAAGTTGGCCTAGGTTTGAATGCCTCCTAAATCCCTTTGCAGCTGTGACCTGGGCTTCAGTTTTCAGGTCTGTAAAACTGGAATGATAATCGTGGCTTGCCGAGGCCAAAGCCTGTCCCTCCCCACAGGCCAGTAAACTCCCATCTGGAAACTTCTAGAAGCCCAGAAGGCAGTGGTGGGTTAATCTTCAGCCTTCTTTCCTCAGTTCCTGAGCCCTGTGGGCCTCTCCGCTGACTGTCGCCAGGGTCTTTGCTTCCCTGTGGATGGCACAGACTCTGCAGACCTTGCTGCCCGAGCCCGGCTGGCACCTCCTTGGGCCCAGCATGGCGGTGTGGTTCTCCCACCATCAGAGCTCCACAGATTGGTGGGCAGTTGGAGAAGAACAGAGGGCAGTGTAAACTCTGACACTGGCTGGCACAGGGCAGGCTACACGTGTGGCAGCGCATGAATTCAGCTGAGGAAAGGGGTATGGAGGCTGGTGGAAGTCAAACTCCTCCTTGGAGGGGTGGGGTCTGAGGGTGATGAGTATGGGCAGGACCCGGCTTGGTTGAATCATGAAGTGAGGTTCTGCAGAGCCTCTGATGCTCCCTACTCTCCACAGTCACTGAGCCTCAGTAACCAGAGGCAGGATGTAGCGTGTGTTGGCTGGGAATGGTGGTGCTGAGGTACAACTTTGAGGGTCTGAGCGGCTCCATAATGAAGACTCCAGGACTAACATCAGCTCCTCAATTACTTAAAACTAAGGGGACAACCTGTGCCTAAGAAATTATGCACATCTGGTGAGAAAAAATCAGGTTCTGAGGTAAGGTTTGGTTATTCTTTTTAAAGCCCTCAAAGGCGTGTGCACTTTGAGAATATTCTAGAAGTAGAATGGTGTATAGGAGAGAAGACATGGGATCTCAAGTTAGAAGACTTGCATCCAGAGAATTCATTGGTGGTCCAGTGGTTTACACTCCATGCTTCCACAGCAAGAGACACAGGTTCAGTTCCTGGTCAGGGAACTAAGATCCCAGGCCGCATGGTGCAGCCAAAAGATAAAGAAAAATTAAGTCAAACAAAACAGAATCACACAGCTTTAAACAATAATTACTATTAAAAAAAAAAGATGACTTGTATCCATGCCGGGGCTCTCTCTGGCCTTGGTGTGATCTTGAACCTTTTCACTCTGGGCCTCCACGGACTCGGGCCTTGCCCTGTTAGACCCTCCCTCTCAAAACCCATGAAGAGGCTGGGCTTTCCATGGACTTCGCTGTCTCCCCACCTTCCACATATTTATTTCTTGCTCAAAGAAAAGAAAGGCTCTGAAAAAGAAAAGTGTGCATTACCATGTGGTGATAATGGCCAGGACCAACCCCTCCACCAAGGCAAAGCCAACCAGACTGGAGACTGCCCAGGGTCCCCTGGCACGGCTGACATTAAAATTCTAACTTTGTTAGGGGAAGGGGTTCCTCATGTCTTTGGTCAGGACAAGGACGTGGAGGACCAAAGAGGGAGATGGAAGCCATGGGTGCAGGGCTTGAAAACACATTTTGCAAACTTCAGTGTCCGCCATGGAGATTTCACTTCTTCGTCACACACTACTCCTCCCCCAACTCCCAGACACACACCAGGGACATAACTGAGCACAACTAAGTCAGGCCAAGAAACTGTGGCTGGTGAGATCAGTCGTTGCCGTGAAATGTCATTTTATTAATCGATTTTATTTTTTTTACAAAAATAAACATTTTAATGAACAAGAAGTACAAAAGCTTCTGGATATACAAACTCCAGGATGGGGGAGAGGCTGGTTTTGGCTGCTTTGCGGCTTTCACTGAAAGCAAATGAGGCAGAAAGGCCCCGGCCCCACCCCCGCCCCAGGTCCTGGCTCAAACTGCTACCTGCTCCTCAACCCACGACTTGGCTCATAACTGTGTGCTCCTCTGTCTGTGCCCCTGGGCTGGCTGGCAGGCGCCCCGTTGGGTTCCCAGAGGCAGCTGCCCTGGGGCACAGAGTCGCCCACATCTTGGAGCATCTCTTCAAGTCTCCGCTCAGGAGCTTGGCTAAGACAACGCTCCATGACCGATTGTCCCCTCGCGGCCCCTGCTGGGCCATGGCTACATTCTCACACTACAAACACAGTGATGGGGCTGCCCATGCAACTGTCCCCATTGAGGGGAAGAGCCCCCAGTGGGGAGACCAGCCTGAGCCCCGCTGGCAGCCGAGACGGTGAGAGGGGCAGTCGGCTCCCTCCCCCCCCGATTCCTGGCCCTGGAGCCAGCAGTCCCAGACCTAGACTGGTAAACTCACATTTTTAACATTTGGCATTATTGCACGTTGTCCTGGTGACCTCGGTCTGTCTGGGCTGTCAGCTTGGTCTGCAGGGGTGCCCACGTGACATGCAGTGCTGCTAGGGCAAGTCACGGGCAAGCCCAGCTGGCGGGGATGGTCAGCGGAGCCTGCCGATGGCTCAGCCAGAGACCCTCACATATGTGGTCTTGCTGGGATCAGGGACCACGTGGCTCCATCCTGTCTTGAAAAAGACCAGTTGCCGACCTGGAGGCAGGAGTGAGAGGTAACAAGACTGGATGTTTCTCTCCCTGGAGGCAGGGCCACTCTCCCTAACACAAGGACACTTGTCTCTCATCCCCTCAGCCTTGTCTTCTCATTGTTTCTGGCTTCTGATGGGGACCCACCACTACCCGTCAGTCTCTTCTGGGGAGTCTGGTCACCTCCCGCAGGATGTCCTTTCCCGCTGGCTCACCTGTCCAGGTGGTCTGGTTGGTGACCACAAAGGCCTGGCACTGGGCATGGTTCTCACAGATGTCCACGGCCTCGGCCAGGTTGAATACTGAGAGGAGGCAGCCTCCGTGGTGGTAGGATGGCCAGCATCGGTAGTCCTCCTGGGAGATAGTACTGTCGGGGAGGCGCTGGTACTCTGTAGGTTGGAGATGGAGCTCAAGTGAGAACTCCGTGTGGCCAGGGGTGAGGGCTGGGACCACTTTCCTTAAAGGGCTAGGAGACCCATTTCTCAGATGTAGTCTAAAACCCAGCCCAGTCTTCCTAGCATGGAGATGCAGGCATCTACCACTGTGGAACTGGGATGACCACTCAGGAAAGGCAAAGCTCAGGTTACCTTTTGGGAGATACATATCTCCCAAATCTAAGGGCATACAAGTGATTTAGGCTGCATGTGACAGCGGGCACATGTATGGGACGAACGCACACACACAGAGCTACTGGTTGTCCAGGCTGGTTGCTGAGCTTGGAACACTTTAGACGTTTAAAGCTGGGCTTCCCAAACTTCAGTGTGCAGGTGAATCTTCAGGAATCTTGTGAAAATGCAGATTCTGATTCTGAAGGTCTGGGGTGGGGATGGGGAACTGGCATTTCCAACCAGCTTCGGGCACTGCTGGTCTGCAGACCACACTTTGAGGAGCAAGAGTTTCCAGCTGCCCTTGGTCCCATTTCCTTCTGGCCTTGGAGAGAGAGGTTAGGCCAGCTCCTTGGGTAGCGGGGGTCAGTTGCAAGTTTTTGAAGTTCAGAGGCATGCAGATGAATGTAAAACACAAAGAATTACCATGTAGGAATCCACAACTTGAGTGTTTGGGGCAGAGGCTGGAGGAAGAATATGAAATCTTCCCATTTCACAGAAAGAGCCCCCAGAGGCTCTGAAAACTCCTCAATCCGGAAGCTGCTTCACTGCAGGCTTCCTGTTCACCCGAGTCTCTCCTGCTGCCTGGGGAGCCCCAGCTCCAGACTGATAATGCAGAAGCCCTGGGCCTTGGCCACCCCGCCTTCCTGCCTCCTTCTTCTACAGGGACTAGACCAAAGTCCAGGGCAGGCTGTGATTTATAGCCCCATAAACGGCGTCCTCAGGGACAGAGCCAGCCATTGTTCACCTCGTTAAACTTTATTTACAGGGCTAACGAGGGCTCCCCCACCCCTAAGACTGGCCAGAGCTCCTTGAATACGGAGGCTGCCCATCCCTCGCCCCCTGCCAACCATGCTAAACCCCAGGGCCTCAGCGAAGGGACCGCGCAGCCTGCAAGTCGTGACTGGAATTCTCTCTCTGCTCAGGGGCTTCTTAACTGGTATCAGGTGGAGCCCTCTCCACCTCCAGCCGTCCTCCTAGCCCCAGAAGGGTGAGTAAGGAAAGAGACATAGACTGTGTTCCAGTTGTGTAAGAGGAAACGAATTAACTGCTTTCACACGTTTCACCTATCATTTACTCCCTGTTTCACCTATCATTTACTCCCCGGAAGAATTTTGTGAGGCAGGTAATGCTGAACCCAATTCACAGATGAGGAAAGTGAGGCTCAAGGTGTAAGTAACTTGCTGAAAGTACACACAATACAGAACGAGCTTTGCAGCCACCCAGAGAAGGGGTGTCAGAGCCCAACCCCCAGTTCAAGGCAGAATTATAGTTATTCCTGGGCATCCCTGGTGGCTCAGATGGTAAGGAATCTGCCTGCAATGCGGAAGACCAAGGTTTGATCCCTGGGTCGGGAAGATCCCCGGAGAAGGAAATGGCAACTCACTCCAGTATTCATGCCTGGAGAATCACACGGACGGAGGAGCCTGGTGAGCTACAGTTCACAGGATTGCAAAGAGTCGGATACTACTGAGCGACTAACACACACATACAGAGTTGTTATAGCTCAGAGGGAAGATCTCTGAGTGAAGGCCAAGCAGTCTCTCTGCATCACTCCAAGTGAGTCTCAAAGGGAGGTTGAGCCACTTCCCCGACTAGGGGGATCACTCTCCTCGAACTGCTCCCCACCTTCCCTGCCCCTGAATCCCTACAGGGGCCACTCACCGGCTTGGCTGCCCGCGGTGGAGTTCTGCAGATACTTCCCGCTCCGGTACAGGTGGAGCACCTTCTCCAGCTGGGCCAGGGTCTCGTCCACCCCCCAGCTGAGCTCTCCTGCAGAGCGCAGTGTGGCTCTAAGAGGGCACCTGGGCTCCCTCCCCGCCCCCACCCGCCCCAGCTCTGGAGCCTGGGCCCTGATGACCGGAGGACTGGGGCGGGGGTTTGCCAAAGAATCTACTTTGGGAAGTGATGTTTCTGGACTGTGTGCCGTCCTGGGCCATCCTTGTTCCCACGCTTGCTGGAGGCGCGGGGGACAAGGTGATGGGAGGCAGTGCTCACCTGTGGCGTTGACGATGCTGTCCAGCAGGGGCCGGAGTGAAGGCGGGGCACTGTGGGGCAGGAGGTATGTGAAGAAAAACCTGGGGCCGAGAGAAATCAGGGGCTCAAAATCAGCGGAGACATAGCCTTCCTCTACCCCAACTTGGGACAGAACCCCAGTCTCACTAGGGAGCCCGATCCCTTGGGCTAACCATCTCACCCATATAGCTCCAGAGGGTGCCTAAGGGTTGATTCAGACTAAGGAGTCAATTCAGCATGTGCCCTGTTGGAGTCTGGGCACATGCTAAGGGCACCAGTAACTTCACACCAAATTGAAGTCTGAGGTGTGTTTTCCCATCCCTTCTGGGGACCTGTCCGCCCCTCAGCCCCACATTATCCCCCAGGTTGACCTGTGTCAGAACCAACTTGCATGGCTTGGCTCTATGAGGAGCTTCCACAAGTGAAGGGCCCAGGGAGGAAGGGGCAGGGCCCTCCCACCAGCCCTAGGCTGAGTCTGACACTATTTTAAGAAGCCTCCAGCTGCCACCCCCAACCCGGATTCTCCTTGGAGCTGACTATTTTTAGCTTCATGGTCAGGAGCCTGCCTGTTCCCTTCTGGACGTGGGGGAGCCTTTCCCTGCCCCTGGCACTTCATTGGTCATGGCAGTCTCCTGGACCCCGTGTGAGCTCCCCTCCCTGCCTTGCCCCCTGGGGCCCCTCGCTGGTCCTCCTGAGTGGGGGTGGAGGTCACCTGTAGGCGTTGTAGAGGTTGCGTTTCTCATTCATGGCCTCGCACCAGCCCTGCGCAGAGCAGGGCAGGGTGAAGTTCCTGGCTGGGAACTCGAGTGTGCAGTCGGCGTTGCCTGTGCACGGCGTCTCCTCCACACGAGCATCGTCCAGATCTGTCACCTTCAGCTCCCCGTCCACCAGCACAAACTGTCGGGGGCGGAAGTCCAGCAGAGTGACCGAGCCCAGCGGGGAGTGGGCCAGGTGGTGGAGGAGGCGGCCCAGGCTCAGGCAGATCTGAGGGGCAGACACCGGACTGCTCACTGCTTTTCTCCAGGGAGGGGAGCCTGGGGGCTCCAGGGTGCCCTCCTTTGAGGTTCTGGACTGAGCTGGGGGCGTTTGCCTTTCTTTTAAAGGCTCGAGTGTTCACTAAGGGCTGAGGCCTGGGACCTTACGGAGCAAACCAGTGATTTTCTACAACCCCATGGCTGGCCTAACCTGAGGGTAACATGGAGAAAGTGGGGAAACAGGCAAGGGAAACCGGGGGACTCCTCCTTGAAGTTGCATCTCAGTGTGGGTTCTGGCCAGTGCATGCAAATAGAGGGCAGGCCAAGATGACCTTAAGATATTTCGAGACCTAGGACACTGGCCCTCCTGCAGCCAGGCTGAGGGGGTGTGTTTGTGTGGACCAGGAGTATAAAACCAGGATCCTCTCTGCCTTGGTTTTTTTTTTAACCCTTTGACTGATGGCTGAGTCAACTTCGTGGCATCCTTCCCTCCTCCCCCCCTCAACTAAGGAGGAGTCCAAGCTGCTCTGGAGAGCTGACCTTCTAAGGGAGCACCATCCCAGCCAGGAGCCCAAGGCCAACTGGCCCTCCTCCCTGCTCACTCGGAAGCGATCCTCCCAGGAAGTCTGCAGCAGCTGGATCATCTCCACAGGGGCGCCCAGCTCCGTGATGGTGGTCAGCGTGTCTGGGATGTCCTCACTGTCCTGGTAGCAGTAGCCATAGAGCTGAAAGAGGCCCAGGCGGGTCATGAGGTCACAGGGTAGGGAAAGGGACGAGGAAGGGCTGGGTTGTCAGATGCCCCCACCCTCCCATCCCTAGGTCTCTGCTTCAGCTCAGGCCAGAAGAGAATAGCAACTCTGCCTGGGAAGCCTGCGCTCTAGCCCACTGTTCTAGCAGCCCCTTACCTCTGGCCACTCAGGTAAATGGGCAGGTCTGAGCACCATGTGATAACCATGTGCCAGGCACTGTGCTAAAGGTTTTACATGCATAACTCAATTCTTAGAATAACCTAAAAGGGCATAGTTGGTACTATTAGTATCTCCAATTTCCATGTGAGGAAACCAACTCAGAGAGGTGAAATTACCTCCACAAGGTCACACAGCTAAGAAATGCAGGAGCTAGGATTTAAATATATGTCACTCTGATTTCACAGCCTTATTCTTTCCAAGAGTACCATTTGCTAACTGACAAACCAACAAATGGCTGTTGTACCTCCTCCCCTGCTCTAATCCTTGTCTTTGCTTCATCATTTCCGCTTACAGGCACCTTCATTTTTCCTTTGCTCTGGTTTTTCTGTAGGGAAAGCAATCTCCCTGAGGATTTGTAACAAGTGTTGATCAGTACAAAAAGAATCCAGAGCTCAAACTCTTGGGTGTTCTTTGCATAGTTGGTGGGGGTGAGGGGATGACCCATATCAGCTGGGGTAGTAGTGAGTTCCTGGGGAAGGTCACTGTTTTTTGAGGGCATGGTCACAAGGGCCTTTCCACTCCATAGGATCTGGGGGAGGGGCTTTGTACCAGCTCAGCTGGCCAGGGGCTTCTGGGAAACACAGCCTGACTTTGTCACCGACACCTAAACCAGGATCCATGGAGAGCCCTGCTTGTTCCCGCCTTTCCCACCTCGCTGCACATCAGCTAAGGGATCAGCCGGTGCTCAAAACACCCAGCACCCTGTGGGGCAGGAACACAAAGGCCAAGTTGTCCGGGCCAGAGTAGGAAGAGAGGAGAGCTGAACGATAGGGGTGGGGGTGGGGTGGATACCAGCAGAGCCAAGCCCCTGGGCTAGATGTCCCTGCAGGCTTTCCCCCTTCGCGGTTCCACTCCAGGCCCCTACATCTCCCTTCCATCCCAGTAGGGACCTTTTAGCCCCCCATCCCTGGAGCCAGCCGCCTCAGTCCTGCCAGCAAGAGGGAAGACACATCTCAGATCACTACGGTGGTGACCTGGGGGATCGGGGGAAATCCCGGGTGCCCTCTTCTCCCCTCCTCTTCTTCCCTCCCCACCCCGCATCAGCCCGGGGAGGCCCCAGATCCCAAAGGGGGCAGCGGTAGGGGGAGGTAAAAGGAGCAGCCCTGGGGCCTGGTTCTCATTTTCTTGCCCAGAGTCTGAGCCTTTGTGGGAAACTTCTGAAGGTTATTAAACACCCGGAGGTCGTTAAATGCGCTGTTAACGAGGTATTAATCAACACCCCTCAGGAAAAAATAAAAAGACACCATTAACCCCCCCAGGAAGCGTGAGGCTGAGCATTTCAGTCGCATCTTTTGTTCCTCTGGGAGAAGAAATATACTCTGGCAGGGCCAGAATCAGGGCCCAGGCAGGCCTGGGGCCCCATCTGAGGCCAGAGGCCCCAGAATGACAGAGGTGCAGGGGAGGAGAGACCCTTGTGCCCTTTGACCCTGGGCTATAGAGGCATCTGTCACGTGAGGGAGTGTGTGTGTGCGTGTGTTGTGTGTGTCAGAGCTGGGCTGGGGAGGGGTCACAGAAGATGGATGGAGACATCCCACCCGGGCAGTGCCGGAGACCAGAGCAAGCTCCGGGAAGTGCCCAGTGGGACAAACTGTCCTGAGCCTTTGCTGTTTGAACACCCACGGAGCCAACTCTGGGGCTGCCAGAGAGGGGGAGGGAGCCTCCGGGAGCGGGAAGCACTCTCTGGCTCCTCCCTAGTTCAGCAAACAGTCGAACAATTTTGAAATTTTAAATGATTAAGAGGTATTAACACATTATTTCTAGTTCCCTGCACACCCGAATGGAAGCCTCCTGAGCAAGAAGACCCCCAGGTAGAAGACCCTCTTTGGAGGCAGAGGTGGCATTGCTGAAGAAGCCAGAGGGATACTGGCCTGGGGGTCTGGGGATGAGACCCCTACCAAAGCCGTCCCTAAATTCACCCCAAGGTTCCTTTTCCTCCCTGTAAGTAAGGGTAGCTTTTCACCTCTCCCCTGACAGAAAGGACCTGGGACCCTCCCCGTCTTGTAACACTTGTGTCTTAGGGCAACTCACCCCAATCTCCCACCCTGTAAGAGTCACACAGCCAACCCAGTCTTGGTCTAGAGAGGGACTGAGTGAAAACCTGTTATAATTTTTTTTCTTTGACACCTCCAGCATTGTAGTGGGGGCCTGACATTAAAGTGGAGGACCATTCTGTGATATATGTGGGGGTGGTTAGCTGATGCTCGTGTTGAAGTCTGGGTTGGGTAAGAGAGGGCGGGAGGAGTTAGTTTCTTAAGAGACAGGAGAGCACAGCAAACCTCCAATCTGTCATAAGGGAGGGGTTCTTGAGTTAATTAACTAACACTCAATATCCTGCTAATACACTCAAGACCTTCCCCACTGCCTCGGAATCTGACCGACACCCCAGTTTCCAAAAAGTTCCCAGGAGCCCCTGGGAAGGGAAGATAACTAGATCCTCCCAGTTAGAATGGCCACGTAACCAGCTGCTCACTCCCTGCAGCTCCAGAGTCAGCTATGCCACCAGGCAAGCCACCCACAGCTGCTGGCTCTGCCTGACTTTCTGCAACCAGTTCAGAGCCCAGGACCCAGTTGATACGTGTCTGATCAGGGCTGGGGTAGCCTGGGAGCCAGCAGTGGTGTCAATAGCTCTCTGACTTCTCTCTACTATTCTGTAATGCCCAGACCTGGGGTCCATCTCACTCCTGAGTTCTTGCTCAATTCTCCCGGGTGCAGAAAGGTTCATGTGAGTGGGCTGGGAGGTGGAAGATGTGGGCATGGTTCTTCAGCTGGGGAGCCTGCACACACCCTGTGTTCACTGGGCCAGGAGCAGTCAGGGATTCCCCTCTTCGTCTGTTCAGACATGTGCAAAGAGAACGGTTTGTCTAATCCCAGGACTGACTCAAGGACGGAGGAGAGCTGGGGGAGAGGAGGAAGTGGGTGTGTTAGGGCAGTGCTGGGACTGTGAGAGGCCCACTCTCTCAGTCTAGCCTGGAGGGGACAAGGTGGGGTCTCATCTTTCCTCTCTGCTTCCCAGTGAATGGGAGAGACAGAGTACCATTTAGTAGGAACATGGGCATCTGGCCTTCTCAATCCTCCAGTCTCTTGGCCACATTTGCTCAGGTAATGTGACTCTCAGACCCTCAGCCTGTCCCCCGAGCATTGAGCTAGGACCCCCAAAGGCTTCCCCAAAGCCTACTTTGAGGTCCAGGGTCTCCTCAAGGAAGGGCCATACATTTTGGGGCCTACTATCCAATCCCTTCCAGTTCCTCCAGTGGCTTCTGGGTGGGGTACCAGATATTCTTGGGGAATCAAGCCTGGTCTTCTTCTAGCTCTTCCCAACCCCATTTGCTGTCCCACTCCACCTTCAGACAACTCACTGTTTGGAAGTTGAGAGAAGTGGGGTTCAGATTCCATCAAGAAAGTGAACGGAACTCAGGGATGAGCTCTGTTCAGCGTCTCGGTTTGGGGTCATTTCCCTGGTGCTCAACACCCCAGCTCCAGCCAGAAGCAGGGTCCTAAGTCCAAACGGACCCCAATCCCCATCCTGACTTTGGGAACCCTCTGTCCTGGTCTGTCTTCTGGAGATATGGTGTGGAAGCTGAGGAACCAGGGAGTCTCTCCGGACGGCCACCCAGGAGTGATAAGCAGGGTGGTGTGCGTGTGGAGGGGGAGCTGCCATGGACCGGGTTCTGTCCTCCAGCTTAACCTGGCACAGTCACTGGGGCTCCGCTTCTTTATGTGTAAAAACAAGGGTTCTCTTCTAACTAGAGTGGCCGGACCTGAGCACGTCCAGCCAGCACCCTCAGCCCCGCACCCGCACCCTCGTACCTGCAGCACGTTGGGGTGCCGCAGCCGCTCCAGCAGCACCATCTCTTTGAGCAGCTTATGGGCCGCCAGTCGATAGCAGCCCCTCCGCGCCCCGAACTCGCGCACGCAGCTGCCCAGATCGTGGCCGCTAAAGTCCACCGCCTTGAGCGCCACCGCCGCGCCGCCAGGCAGGCGGACCCGGTACACGGCCTTGGTGTAGCCGGAGCCCAAGTACTGCGCGCCGGACACGTTGCGGAGCGCGGCGCAGCCCAGGCGCGGGCCCGGACCAGGGGAGCCCGGGCCGGGAGCCGGGGGCCAGCCCGGAGCGCCGTCGGGCAGGGGCCGGGCCCGCGGGGGCCGGGGACGCTGCAGGCCCGGACCGCCCGGAGCCAGGTCCATAAGGCGCCGCCGCTCCGGCCGGCCGGCCCCGGGCCCGGGGCCCCCGCGGGAATAGCGCTGCACCTCCTCGTAGCGCGCTCGAATCTGCCGGGCCAGCTCCCCGCGGCCCCCGCGACGGCCCGGGCCCGGGGCTGGCGAGGGCCCGGGGGACTGGCCGGGCCGTGGAGGCTCCGAGCCCGGTGCGAAGAGCACGTTGAGGACCGAGCCTAGCAGGAAGGAGGCGCAGAAACCCGCGGCCACCGCCGCCCGCCGGCGCCGCATCGCTCCCCTCCCCCCGGCCGGCCGGCCCCGCGCGGCTCCCCGGCCGCGGCCCCGGGAGGCTCAGGCTCCGAGGCGGCTCCGCTCTGCGCTCCGCCGGCCCCCTGCCCAGCCCACGCGCATGGCCCCGGCGGCCCCGACCCCGGCCCCGGCCCCTCGCGGGCGGCACATCGGCCTGACACTTGCCTCCCTCTCGCCCTGCCCCCGCCGCTTATAAGGCCCGGAGCCGCCCCCGCCCCCGCCCCCGCCCCCTCCGCCTCCGCCTCCCAGCTCCCGGCCCGAGCCGGTCCTCGGCGCCGCCCCCTCCGGCCGGCCCGGCCTTCCCCGCTGACTGACAGCGGGACCTCCTCCCGCGGCCGTCCCGGCCTGAGAAGCGGCTCGGAGGCGGCTCCGGCCCTGCCCAGCGCGCGGCCCTGGATCGCCCGCCGGGGGAGCAAGGGAGGGGGCGGCGGCGGCCCCGGAACGAGCTGGAGGGATCGGACCCAGAGCGAGGGCGGATAACGGGGCCGGGGCGGCCAGATAACGGGCCCGGGAGGCGGTCAACTGAGCTGGCGGGGCAGGGTGGGGGAGCAGACGGAGGGGCGAGGCCGGCGGGTAACGGGTTCCGGAAGGGACGAGCAGCTGGGTCCGGGGTGCGCCCTCCCTGGAACCCGGGGCCGTGGGGCTGGCTGGGCGCGGGGAAGGGGCGTGGGGCCCGCCTCACGCGGGGGGCGCTGCTCATCGCTTAGTCGCGGATTTGGGGGCCAGGGATGGGGAGGCGGGCGCTCAGGGGCTGGCACCTGCGAGCGCCCGTAGGATGGGAACTCTGGGATCCGAAGAAAAATCATGAGATGCCCTCTTCCATCTCCCCTACCAAGTTTTTCTGATTTTCCTTGTCCCCAAAGCCCCACATCGAACCCCTGCCCCGGGGATTCCCGCAGACAGACGTTAGCCGCGGATCACGAACTTTATTCGGGCTACTAATTTGTATAGAGAGCACTTGTACCCACGGACATGCGTGGTCCCGATTGTCTCTGGAGCGTGTTGCATTTGTGTGTCTGAAGGGGCCACTGTGTCCGAGGAAGGGAGTGTGTAGCATGTGTGTAAGTAGGTGCTGACTCCAGCAGAACTTCTGGTCCCTCCTCCTCCCTCCCTGATTGCATCATTAGCGCTAATTGAGGAGCTTTCACACGCCAGTGCATTAGTTGTTTGGAGTGAGCTCCCCCCTTCTGGGAGAGATAAGCCGCCGCCCCTCCCCCTCGCAGCCCTCCTATTCCTCAGCGCCCTGAAACTGTCCACCTGGATCCCCCCCACCCTTCTTGGGCACCTTCCTGCCCCCCGGTCCTTTCCTGGTTAATCTCTTTCTTCTTCGCAGTGTCAGAGAGGAGGCAGGAGGAGGTGGAGGGCCTAGAAAATCTTTCCTCCAGGAGGGTGATGAGTTCTGAATGCAATCTGTGTGATGAGAAAGACAGAAATCTCTGGCCGGTTCTTTTGGACCTGCAAGGGCAGAGGACAGCTCTGAATCTTCCATCACCAGCCTGTGATCCCACTGATGTAGGGGTATCCAGCCCTGACTCCTAGGGTCCCCGAAGACTGGGAGAGTTGGGGTCCAGTCTAACTTAGCAAGCAGGAGAAGGGCAGAGTGAGAGAAGCCTCCATTCTCCTGAGGACCTTGGGTTCGGTAGAGTTTGGTCTGGTCCTGTTTAGCTGCTCTGCCCTGCCCTGGCCCTTGGCTGCTGGTTGTGGGGGAAGGCTCTGAGCAGATGCCCTCCCCAGCCCTCACACCAGATGTCTTTGGTCTAATTAACTGTGCTGGGAAAACCAACCTGGGTTTGTAAACAGAGCTACTGGCTAAAGTCAACAGGGAGCAGCAGCAAACAGCAAACATTCCCCTCACACTCAGCCACAGTCCAAGCCCGCTCCCTAGGGAAGAGGGGAGCCTTGCGGATCCTGAGGCCTCCTGGCCCACATCTGAGTTAGGGAAAACATCTCTTCCTCTGTGACCCCAATATGGACATTTCCTTACCCCAGTGGCTCAGACAGTGAAAAATCTGCCTACAGCACAGGAGACTGGGGTTTGAACCCTGGGTTGGGAAGATCCCCTGGAGAAGGGAATGGCAACGCATTCCAGTATTCTTGGCTGGAGAATCCCCATGGACAGAGGAGCCTGGTGGGCTACAGTCCATGGGGTCCCAAAGAGTCGGACATGACTGAGCCACTAACTCATTACTAGTCTCAGAGGCTTCTCTGCTGGGGAGGCCTAGGGATTCTGGAAGGACAGAGTTACCATCAGAGGCTCTGCCTCCCTTCCAGAGAACTCTTGGGATCTATTAGCCCAACCTCCTGATCCATGGGGAAGCCATTATAGGGGGAATGTTCCTTAAAGAGCTTTCTTTGGGGCCTCTTCTGCTCTAGGATCCTGGAGAAACCTCCTAGGTATGGCCTGGCATTGTTGACCCTAACTCAGAGTTGGTGAATATAACACGAACATTGTTAAGTTCGTTACACATCATGTAGGTATTATAATAACATGGTCTGAAATTAGATAATTATTCCTGTGATATCTTTGCCAAGCTTCAGTGTTTCTGTTATGGTTTGAAAGTTCAGTGCACACAGGGCCTGAGAAAAGGCCTGAATGTACATACATACATTGCACACGCATGAGCCCGTGGACCCGTGGACAGTGACCTCACACACAGGAACAAAGGCATTTCAGCTCTCGTTCTCACACTCACTCTGTCTCCTTCGCTGGCTCTCAGACATACAGACATATACAATCTTTGATGGAAATAGGTTTTTGGCCTCTGAAAAAAAGAGGTTGAACGTTTTGCACAGATTAGAGTTTCTGAATTGGCAGTTTCTTGACTTCTTAACCAAATTGTGCTTGTTTGTTTTCTTTTTTTCTTTGCCACCCAAGGAGTAGAATCATCATATCAAAGAATTGAAAAAGACCTAAAACTCTTGTTCAGGATCCAGATTTACTATCTGCCCTGCCCCGAAGACCTGGCAAGGCCGGTAGCCTGGGCCTCCCTGACCAGAGTCCTCAGGCCCGCAGGCAGCTCAGAGCAGGGAGGGCCCTCCTTCTGTGTGCCTGTTCAAGAACTCACTGCTTCAAACACACCATGTTTTCCAGCCGCTGCCTCTACCTATCACACCCTCACCCCATCCAAACACTAACTTGGATAACAATCCTTAGGGAGGAGGCAGATGGTCCAAACTCCAAAATACTAAATTTCTTTGGAAATGTCTTCAAAATGCATGTCTTTCTGCATGTTTTGTCAGATTTTCTTAGGCTACCAGGGTAGGAATATCATCCTCTCCTCGGTCCTCTTTATTGTCTGCCTTCTCCCTCCAGCCCAGGTCTCAAATACTTCTTTTGGAATGTCACTCTCCAGCTCAGAAACCTGGAGGAGAAACTGAACTGGACCTTCAGGCCTTTGCGAGCTGGCTCCAGCCCTCCACCTGGCCCAGTTCCCCTCTTTTCATTTCCCCGCACAGAACCGGACTCCCCCGACCCGTTGCCTGCACTGGCTCCTGACCTGGAGCCGTCATTAGCGTTTCCCCCTGTGGCCCTCCCACTTCCTTTTCCTGAAATGCCCACTTGTAGCCTTTCTCACTGGCTTCCTCGGTGGCTCAGCGGTAAAGAATCTGCCTGCAATTCAAGAGACTCAGGAGACATGGGCTCGATCCCTGGGTCAGGAAGATCTCCTGCAGGAGGGCATGGCAACCCACTCTGGTATTCTTGCGTGGAGAATCCCATGGATGGAAGAGCCTGGAGGGCTACAGTCCTTAGGGTCATAAAGATTCGGACATGACTGAAGCGACTTTAATACTCAGTACTCAGCCTTTCCACATCATCTTTGCTAGCTGCTAGCTCGTTCATCAAGGTTCATCAAGGTCTCCCAGAAAATAGGGAGTCACAGACACTGCTTCTTCACTTGGGATACCTGGGTCCCTGGGACCTTGAAGGCCTATTCTTAGAGTTCTGTGGATTTATTTTCTTTAAAAGGAAATGTACAAAACACATTTCTCAGGTCTTGGAAAACTTGATGTAGACCAAAGAGCTTGGGGCTACAAGAAACCAAGAAACCTGGGTTCAAATTTCATTAACTGAGTTACTGGGTGAGTTAGTTAATCTCTCTATGTATTAATTTTCTCATGAAGAAAATGGGAGACAATACTAGTCCTTACCATGTAAAGTTGTCGAGTGATGAAATGCAGAGACATATGAAGTGCCTGGCACAGGCTAAGCCCTCAATATGAGTAATGTATAGTAGTATTAGTGATAATATTGAACAAATAAACATCTAGGACAACATGTTAGACAACTAACCATAACTCTGCCTAGCGGCAGAAATGACTTTAACTACTTTCCATCCTGGTTTCCACTGGTGAACTCTCTCAGCCTCCTGGGCTCACTCTGTGTCTGGAATTTTCACTTTTTCCCAAATCAGCAACGCAGCGGTCGATCAGAAGAGGCCTCGTTGCCCCCACTACCACCCTGCGGTGAGCTGCAGAGGGAGAAACATGAATCAAGGCCTGATTCTTGGTGCCACAGGGAAAGCCTGGGTCTGTCCTCCCTGGGGCAGGAGCTGGGGGAGGGGACGGCTCAGAAAATGAGGAGGGAGAAGGAAAGGGGTGGAGCCAGGCAGCCTGCGCCCCCACCCCCACTTCCCTCAGGTAGGAAGTGAAGCTGACGTTTCCAAAATATAAAAAACAGATGATGAGGGTCAGGTTTCCTACACACTGGAGAGCGGGAGCCCCAAGGCAGAGTCCCCAAGAAATGATGTGAGACAGAGATGGGGGGCAGAGAGAGAAAGAGACTGGAGGGGAGAGGAGATAGATAAGGATGCAGAAAAACAGAGACAAAGACAAAGCCCCTCCTGAATCCTGAGGGTGGTCAAAGGCAGAGACAAGAGACAGAAAGGCATGGTTCAGGAGAGATCTTTCCACCCGTTTCTGGAAAGGAGCTTAGTTCCTCTCTGTGGGTCTCAAGATGGGAACGTGAGCCCTTTTGGCTCCAT